GATTTGCCTGCTGAAATTTAAACTTTGTGAACTTCCTAAATAAGGAAAACTAAAAAAAAAAAGGCAAAAAAGGAAGTTAACTGTTGTCAGTGATATGCTTTAGAAAATGCAGAATGGTATGTGTTAGGTGGGCTGGTGAGGATTTAGGAGCAAACCAAGACTTGACAAACAGGATGAGGATATTGGTTACAGACCAGTTTGTCCCGTTTCCCAAAGAACCTGGTCCCAAGGGACCTGCAAAGAGTGTATGAGTCAGAGGGTTCACGAAAACAGTAACCTGTTTGATGGGCCTTACATGTTTGCTAATGAGGCAGCCATGGAGTCCTCAGGACAAGGTGGCTCTCAGGAAGGCACGAGAGGGATGTTCCTGGAGGATATTCAGGTATCAGATGCCTGCCATTTTCTGGTAGAGTGGATCACAGAGAGATGAATCCCTGTAGATGACCACAGCTCTCTTCTGTGCATTTCCAGGGCGCAGCTCCAGGATTAGCATGGATCATATTTGGTGAACTCTGGATTTATTTTTCGTGTGTGTGTGTGTCTGGCTACTTTTTCAACAGTTGAAAATAATAATGATATACTGCTCTTTATGAGGACTTAATACAATAACTATACCTATAACCCAAGGATAGTCATTTAGGCTGGTGCTTGACATGTACCCAAGAACACCACAGAGACTTCAAACTGTCTTGACATGTCTTCACTGAACTTTTTGCACATTCTGAGTTATCTCACTTAAGACATCCTTAGCATCTGAAAAAGATGAGATAATAATTTAATATAACCTGAAATGCTCCCTCTTGTTTTCTGTTTATGCATTTCAAGCCAAGTTTTACTTTTTTTTTTTTTTTTTTTTTTTGTGAAACAGACTGGATTTTACTTGGTTCTGTTGATATCAAATGCCCTAGAAAAGAATGGAAGTTTGGAAGATAAAGTTAATTTGTATATTTATAAGTTGGTTAAAGTGAGCACAGAAAAAGCCTGGTTTGACTTTTGTAATTTCATGCCTAATAATGTGCTTAGCAACATACTAAACAGAAACACTATCTAATAATTAAGAAATGGGATGTCTCAGTCTAGCACAAAGGCTTTAGAAAGAATGATAAGTTGGCCAACCAACTAGCCATGAAGAACTGTTGAAGGAGAAGAGAAGGCTCCGAGGTGACCTTATTGTGGCCTTCCAGTATCTTCGGGGGGCCTACAAGAAAGCTGGGGAGGGACTTTTTAGGCTATCGGGTAACAACTGGACTAGGGGGAATGGGGCAAAGCTGGAAGTGGGCAGATTCAGGCTGGATGTGAGGAAGAAGTTCTTCACCATGAGAGTGGTGAGACCCTGGAATGGGTTGCCCAGGGAGGTGGTTGAGGCCCCATCCCTGGGGGTCTTTAAGGCCAGGCTGGATGAGGCTCTGGGCAGCCTGATCTAATGTGAGGTGTCCCTGCTCATGGCAGAGAGACTAGAACTGAGTGATCCTTGTGGTCCCTTCCAACCCTGACAGATTCTGATCTGTTTTAGCAGGGGACTTTAGAGCCCTAATGGCTTAATGGTTGGACTTGATGATCTTGGAGGTCCCTTCCAACCTAAAGGATTCTATGATTCAAATCAAAGTGAAATTGAGTGAAAGGTAATTCTGGCAGGGGGAGATCATGGCCACTGACTCATGGACCACCGATTATAATTATACCACCTCCTCAAAAGAACAAGGAAATTAACAGCTAAGGAATTGGACAGAGCATGCGTGGTGAGATACATAGCAATCAAGGATATTTTAAGCAATCATGTAGGTGAATAACAATACATATGTATTAGAAAGATGAGTATAATTAAAACTTTATGTATAAATAACTTGTGATATATGATGTTGGTGTGCTGCTTTTGACCTGCTACCCATGACAGTGCTTTCATCAGAATAAAGAAAATACCTCCACCACAAGGTGTGTATGTGTGATTAGCAGTTGCATGCCATGTGATGGACCTAGTTTTGGAAAAACACTGTCAGAAGTTATGATTTGATATATGCATCCCTAAGGTTTGTGAAACCAGGTCCAAAGACACTTTGGACAGACATTTCTCTCTACTTACACGCAGCAACAGAGGAACTGTAGTTGTTGAGCATCCACATCATGAGTATGTGTGCATTTTACCATTAAAACAACTCTCAGTAGAGAGGAACTCATACCTTGAGCATACCTCAGAAAGAAAACCTTACAATGATCCTTTGATAGAATAATTTCCATTGAACATCCCACTGGGGATACTTGTAGAAGAGTGATGGCATTTTAGTGAGGGGCAAAAAGTGAGCTGGATAAGTACTGCCGTGGTGGAGAAAGCTGGAGTGGAGAGTATTTCATGGAATTGTTCAAAGCTTTTGGGTGGGAAACACTGAGAGTGCGAACTTAGGCACCCACTGTACTGAGCTGGAAGGGAGGGCTGGTACAACTGGGACCTACAAGCTGTCACCACCAGAGAGAAGATTCTCAGCCCCAAGGCTGAGATAGCAGTGATATATTGGTCAGACCAATACACTTTGCTGTGCAGCCCTAGCAGCCTCTAAGGAGCCTGGGCGTTTTTTTCTCTGCAGGCCCCACACTGACCAGAAGGAAGCCTCAGGCATGTGAAGCCTGAAAAGGTCCTACTGTAGAACTGCACTTGGCCCCTTTCTTTGACAGGACACATCAAAGGGCCTGGTTAGTGAAAGCATATTTTCCCTCCTTTGTTCTCCTGTAACCGTGCTCTGATT